TTTAAAAATTAAAATTTTTCGGTTTTTGGACTTTTAAATTTTTTTTTACTTTTTGATTTTTGGAATTCTCCATTTTTCAAGTTTTCGACTTCTCAACTTTAGATTATTTGGTTTTTAAATTTTTTGATTTCTCGAGATTTCGATTCTTCGATTTTTTGACTTTTTGATCTTTCAGTTTGTCAATTCTTCGCCTTTCCGATTTTTCTTCAATTTTCCGATTTCCTAAAATTTGGTTTTTCGATTTTTTAAATTTAACATTTTTTGATATTTCAATTTCACGATTTTTTGATGCTTCGATTAATATCACTTCTCGGTTTTTCGACCTTTGATTTTTCGACTTTTCAATTTTTCAAGTTTTCGATTTCTCAATTTTTCAATATTTCAAGTTTGGGAATTTTTCATTTTCTGAAATATTCAATTTTGTTTCAATTATTCAATTTTTCGATTTCTTAGATTTCTCAATTTCTCGATTCATATTCCGATATTTTAATGTTTCAATTTTTAAAAATTACAATTTTTCAATTTTTCGTTTTTAAGTTCTCCGAAATTTTAAATTTTAGATTTTTCGGTTTTTGGACTTTTAAAATTTGTATTACTTTTTGATTTTTGGATTTCTCCACTTTTCAAGTTTTCGACTTCTCAACTTCAAATTATTCGGTTTTAAATTTTTCGATTTCTCGATCTTTCAGTTTTTCAATTCATCGCCTTTCCGATTTTTCTTCAATTTCCCGATTTTCTAAAATTTGGTTTTTCGATTTCTTAAATTTAACATTTTTAGAGTTTTCAATTTCACGATTTTTTGATGCTTCGATTAATATCACGTCTCGGTTTTTCGACCTTTATGATTTTTTGACTTTTCGATTTTTGAATTTCTCGATTTTTCAAGTTTTCGATTTCTCAATTTATCAACATTTCAATTTTGAGAATTTTTCATTTTCTGGAGTTTTCAATTTTGCGATATTTTAATTATTAATGTTTCAATTGTTCAATCTTCCGATTTCTAGGTTTTCTCAATTTCTCGATTTATATTCCGATATTTTAATGTTTCAATTTTTAAAAGTTAAAATTTTTCAATTTTTCGATTTTTAAGTTCTCCGATATGCCTATTTTTCATTTTCCGAATTTTTAAATTTTAGATTTTCCGGTTTTTGGACTTTAAATTTTTTTTTACTTTTTGATTTTTGGATTTCTCCATTTTTCAAGTATTCGATATTTTAGTGTTTCAATTTTTCGATTTTTCAGTTCTCCGATATATCTATTTTTCATTTTCCGAATTTTTAAATTTTAGATTTTTGGTTTTCGGACTTTTAAAAATTTTTTTACTTTTTGATTTTTGGATTTCTCCATTTTTCAAGTTTTAGACTTCTCAGCTTTAGATTATTCGGTTTTTAAATTTTTTGATTTCTCGATTTCTCGATCTTTCAGTTTTTCAATTCTTCACCTTTTCGATTTTTCTTCAATTTTCCGATTTTCTAAAATTTGCTTTTCGATTTTTTAAATTTAACATGTTTAGATTTTGTAATTTCACGATTTTTTGACGTTTCGATTAATATTACGTCTCGATTTTTCAACCTTTATGATTTTTTGACTTTTCGATTTTTAGATTTCTGGATTTTTCAAGCTTTTGATTTCCCAATTTATTAACATTTCAATTTTTTATGTTTCAATTGCTCAATCTTTCGGTTTCTAGGATTTCGATTTTTAAATTTTTAATTTTTCTACTTTTAAAATCCCTGATTTCTCAATTTCTCGATTCATATTCCGAAATTTTAATGTTTTAATTTTTGAGATTTAAATTTTTTTTTCGATTTCTGGATTTTTCAGTTCGATATGCCTATTTTTCAGTTTTCCGAAATTTTAAATTTTAGATTTTTCAGTTTTTCGATTCCTCTATCTTTCGATTTTTCGAGATTTCGATTGTTCGTCATTTCAGTTTTGGAATTTTTTATTTCTCGATTTTTCAGTTTTTCAATTCATGAACTTTCCGATTTTTCTTCAATTTTCCGTTTTTCTAAAATTTGGATTTTCGATTTCTCGATTTTTTAATTTTTTGAATTTTTATATTTTTGATTTTTCAATTTTTAAAATTAACATTTTTAGATTTTTCAATTTCACGATTTTTTGATGCTTCCATTAAGAAGACATGTCGGTTTTTTGATCTTCATAATTTTTTGATTTTTCGATTTTTCAAGTTTTTGATTTCTCAATTTTTCATTTCTATGTTTCAATGTTTTTAATTTTTATATTTTCGATTTTTTGTGCCCCGATTTCTTGACATAAATAGTTTAAATAAATAAATAAATAGTTTATTGATCATCCAACGGGCAAATCGCCCACATAGGACATAATAATAACTAATAATAAACTTAACCCAAAATTTTTTTTAATATAATGCTAATTTACATCTCGGACTTTTAAATTATTTTAACTTTTTAATTTTTGGATTTCTCCATTTCTCAAGTTTTCGATTTTTCAATTTTTCATCTTACGGATTTTAAATTTTTCCATATTTTGATTTTCCAATTTTTTGAAATTTTTTGCAACATTTCAATTTTGGGAATTTTTCATTTTCTGGAGTTTTCAATTTTTCGATTTATATTCCGATATTTTAATGTACGAATTTTTAAAATTTAAAATTTTTCGCTTTCTTTCTTGGATATGCCTATTTTTCAGTTTTTCAAATTTCGAATTTTTAAATTTTAGATTTCCCGAGATTTCGATGCTTCGATTTTTTGATTTTTCGAATTCTCGATTTCTCGACCTTTTGATAAAATTCAATTTTTTGTCATCTCAGTTTTGGAATTCTTCAATTTTCCGATTTTTTAAATTTTACATTTCTAGATTTTTCAATTTTACGATTTTTGGCGCCTTGATTCTTGACATTGCGGTTTTTTGAGTTTTTAAATTTTTGATTTTTGGATTTCTCCATTTTTCAAGTTTTCGATTTCTCAATTTTTCATTTCTATGTTTCAATGTTTTTAATTTTTACATTTTCGATTTTTTAAATTTTACGATTTTTTGTGCCTCGATTTCTTGACATCTCGGTTTTTGGACTTTGAAAAATTTTTTTTTTACTGTTTGATTTTTGGATTTCTCCATTTTTCAAGTTTTCGATTTCTCAATTTTTCAACACATGATTTTGGAAATTTTTCATGTTCTGGATTTTAAATATTTCCATATTTTAATTTTTCAATTTTTTGAAATTTTTTCCAACATTTCAATTTTGGGAATTTTTCATTTTCTGGAGTTTTCAATTTTTCGATTTATATTCCGATATTTTAATGTACGAATTTTTAAATTTTAGATTTCTCGAGATTTCGATGCTTCGATTTTTTGATTTCTTGATTTTTCGAATTCTTCAATTTTCCGATTTTTTAAAAATTTTGTATTTCCATGTTTCAATTTTTTGAATTTTTATATTTTCGATTTTTTAAATTTTACATTTCTAGATTTTTCAATTTTACGATTTTTGGAGCCTCGACTCTTGTCAACTCGGTTTTTGGAGTTTTTGGATTTCTCCATTTTCCAAGTTTTCGATTTCTCAGTTTTTCAACACTTGAATTTAGGAATTGTTCATTTTCTGGATTTTAATTTTTCAATTTTTTAATGTTCACTTGCTAGATTTTCAATTCCTCAAATTTCGATTTTTAAAATTTTTGATATTTTTATTTTTAAAATGTTTTGATTTCTCAATTTCTCGATTTCTTGATATTTCAAAAAGCATTTTTTTCCGTTGCTTATCTGCTTGAAATATATTTCATACTGTCGACATTATTGTTCACTGGTTCTGTACTTCAGAAGACAGGGAAGTTCTATCGAAATAACCTTAGACCAATTTTTAATTTTGCCGCTTAACTTTACGCTAACATTCACTACATGTTACAAACCGATACGAAATGGCAGTTATATTATAGTCCATTATAATCCTCATTTCAACAAGGCGGCACAATAATTGACCACATTAATTCGCAAAACCTTCGACGTCTTATTGAATAAAAATTAAATTTTACTTTCAACTTTATCGACTAATAAAAGATATGAGATTTTCGTCATTTCCTACACGACGTCCAACTTTCCAGAGATGGCGAATACATAACTTAAATCTTTAAATCAACGTTAGTGTGATATCAAAATTTGGACGAAAAATTTATATAGTTTCTGAAATAATTTTCAAAATATCTAGAAAATTCCAAAAATATAAACACCGTTGACGTCGTGGCGTAAGTGAAGCACTCACAATTAAAAAAAATAGTATCACGATCCTTATGCACTTTATCAGTGAGTACAGTTCACTATTAAAAAGCTTTCAGACAAATGTCACTGAACTTGATCAATCTACCCCAAATCTAATCAGTTTTATCAGGTAAAATGCATACGCACAATTTCAACTTCATTGGTATCGTTCGGACACACAAAGTACCGAGAACTCCGATTTCGATTATTTACACCACAAAACATTGTTATCAGTCAAAGTTTTCTTCAGTGTTGTTTGGGGAGCAACGATAGCAAATTTGGACAATGAACCGAAAATACAACTTTTCGTGTTCATTTTAGTAAGATCACAATCGAACATTCGTGAATCAAAATTCGAAAATAACAACTCTCGTGCTAGCCGCTCGGGTCATTAAAAATTTCTAATTTAAGCATTTTTAGCTGTTGATGATACTCACCATTTTTATAAAGTACGATTATTCTCGACACCACTACCCGCTAAAACCGCTCTTTCAATAATGGCAAGTCAGCCACACTATATGGAATAACACCGCGTGATTAACACCGAACGAATGAAAACATTTTCCTTCGATTAGATAGCATTCTCCAACCTCAAAGACCGATTCAAACAGTCCAAATGCTTAAAACAAACGTGTGAGTACTTCTCTTGATTAAAAAAAAAATCGATGTGAAAAACAATTAGAAAATTAAAAAAAAAAAACGGTCCGGCGTAAACACCGTGACAGAGCTTGTAGGTAAAGCTAGGTATTACTTGCATGCAAACGTACAGTGGCTTGTCTACGCTGATGATACCATATACCCACTTTCGCCATTTGAGCCTGAATATTATTAGCGGTCAGCGCCTTGACAGCTCCCTCAGCGGCTGACGGACTTTCAAAATCAACAAATCCATAACCTAGAGGAAAAGACACCAAATTTGAATAAAAATCTAATCACGGATACGTGCTCCAGATCCATACATATAGGGACGCAGGATCCAATATGCAGTTAACGGGGGATAAAAGTGATGTAGGGGGCCATGGATGGCGATATTTACGGGCTGCCGCAACCGTTTTGCCAAAAAGGCGACTTTTAGATGCTCGGAAAAGGGTTTAAGCGCGATTTGTGAAATATTTTTACACGATTTTTAAAGCCGGGTGATTTTTTGAATTTCTGCTCTAGTCGGCCATGACGCGTAGGTTACCCGAGATAATTATTTTCGTTTTTTTTTTTGTGACAATCCAACTCGAAAATTTTTAACCAATACAATGGCAGAATTGTTTGAAATTTGTCCAATGGCATTCACCGAAAAATTTTTTCAAATATAATATAACAAGTGGTCTGATTTTTTCCGACAAAATTTGTGACACAAATTAACGAGTAGCTGTTGCGACGAAAATCACACGAGTCGACGAAGGAGACGAGTGTGATTTTCCAAAAGCAACAGCTACGAGTTAATTTTCACACAAATTTTGCAGAAAAAATCAGATCACGAGTTATATTCGGCTTGACAATCCAAAGAGAAAATTTTTATTTGCTTTTTACGGACAATAATTCACATAATTTATAGTTAGCGTAGTAGTTGAGTAACCATACCTACCTAGTCTAAATAGTAACAAAATAACAAGGCAAAACGTAAATAAATTTCTAAACATCAAATTTTGTGTGTGCTGCTGGTTGATTTTCGGAATTATGGGAGCAAGATTTGATAACAAGACTGTGTTTGAAATTCGAAATGCAGTGAAAGAAAGTCAGTGCCGAAACACTGCAAGAACGCACGATTCAATTTGGAAGCAGTTTACAGAATTTTGTGAAATACGCAAGTTTCCTCTAAATAAAGCAGTCGTAATGAACGAGGTGGTCAGTATTTTGGAAGATTATGCCTTTAACGCCAACAGAAAAGTAATTTGTATTATTGTTTTTTTTATTAAAGTTCATTTGACAAGTTTGACAAATTAATTTGACATAATTTATTTCGCTGAAAAACAGTGTTGTTGCCTGACAGAAGAATGTTTTTTCACTGAAAAAATTTTTCGGTGAATGCCATTGGACAAATTTCAAACAATTCTGCCATTGTATTGGTTAAGAATTTTCGAGTTGGATTGTCAGTGAAAAAACATTCTTCTGTCAGGCAACAACACTGTTTTTCAGCGAAATAAATTATGTCAAATTAATTTGTCAAATTTGTCAAATGAACTTTAATAAAAAAAAAACGATAATACAAATTACTTTTCTGTTGGCGTTAAAGGCATAATCTTCCAAAATACTGGCCACCTCGTTCATTTCGACTGCTTTATTTAGATGAAACTTGCGTATTTCACAAAATTCTGTAAACTGCTTCCAAATTGAATCTTGCGTTCTTGCGGTCTTCCGGCACTGACTTTCTTTCACTGCATTTCGAATTTCATACACAGTCTTATTACCAAATCTTGCTCCCAGAATTAAGAAAATCAACCAGCAGCACACACAAAATTTGATGTTTAGAAATTTATTTACGTTTTGCTTTGCTGTTTTGTTACTATTTAGACTAAGTAGGTATGGTTACTCAACGAATACGCTAACTATAAATTATGTGAATTATTGTCGTAAAAAGTATATAAAAATTTTCTCTTTGGATTGTCAAGCCGAATATAACTCGTGATCTGATTTTTTCTGCAAAATTTGTGTGAAAATTAACTCTTAGCTGTTGCTTTTGGAAAATCACACTCGTCTCCTTCGTCGACTCGTGTGATTTTCGTCGCAACAGCTACTCGTTAATTTGTGTCACAAATTTTGTCGGAAAAAATCAGACCACTTGTTATATTATATTTGAAAAAATATTTATGCAAGTTGTAGGTTATAGGCATGAACGGGCCGCAGGCAAACAATTACATCAATACGACAATAAAGTATTCACCCACGTATTGCATGCATAACTTTATTTACGACCATTTGTTATAAATAATGACTTTATTTGATTGAATACTGACAACTAATTTATTTCCAAATTTCGTCATTACTAGCAAAAAAAAATGAATTCTAACAACAAAAAAATAGCTAAAAAATTGACTGCTGCAAAAGTAGGGTTAGAAAAACTTTATCAGCTGATTGGCAAGGTTATCAATTTAGTCATTTTGACAGGTTCCTTGACCTTGCTACACTAAAATGGTGCCTGTTTTCTCACTACTGTGCCCGGAAATCGTAAAATAGAAACAGGTTGTCCGGATTTGCGCCCCCACAAGCACGGTTTCTGGAGCACGAGCGTCCGCGCGACCTTTCCTCACCTTTACATTTATTTGTTGTTTTGTCCAAGATGGCTTTGGTGGAGATGATGGTACCGAACCTTGAAACAAACCATGGCAGTGTGGGTTTGAGGGTGCGAGGGAATACTTACTGCTGGCACATGTTGACGAGATCCTTGTCTGTCGTACCAGGATTGAGTCCTCTTATGTACAAGTTGGTTTTGGACAGTTGTTCGGAACCGGAAGAATTGTTTGGCGATGAGTTAGTGTTATTCGGCATGTTGTTACTAAGTGAAGTGGATACAGTGCCGCTTTGACTGCCTGTGTGACTGCTCGAGCTACTTGTGTTCGATGGCGACGTGGCCGTTGGCACTCTTTGATTTCCGTACTGCAAAGCCCAGACTAATTAGCGACAGACAAACAGCGAATCTCGACCACAACAAGCTTTCAATAGTTCATGTAAATTCGAAGCGAAACATTCAAGATAAGATAGGTGGTTTGATAACCTGTATCAGGCAATTCGAAGAATAAAGGCTATTGTGACATCGGATGAATGATATTTAACAGGACGAAACTAAGCGGTGAGTGATTAACTAGTAATTTATAATGATCTGTATCTGTGGGTTTACATAGATTTGGGACTAATCGTTCACATGGAGTACTGCGCATGAGCATAAAGTCAACTTAAGCTACTAATTTCAACCATCCATCTAAAATTACAGTATGTTTTAACTTTGATCATTCTAAACGTTGCCGAATGACCTTTACAAGATCCTACTCTGTATCATATCTGATACACAAATATGCGGTTATCTAACACGTGACGTCATAAATTTTGACATGAGGAGCACTAAATTGTTCAATGAATTGAAACATTCTATTTTAATACTTTAATTCCTTAAAAGGAATCTTTATCAGTAATTGTTTACGTAATAATAGACAGATCAGGATCCGAAATTTTGGATATTTTTTAAATGCGACCATGAAGGAGCTTTCTTAGGATACTATTAAATATCAACCATAAAATTAAAGTTGGCCCCATAACTGCAGCAAGCCATGTGCAAACAATAAAACTTTTATTAAGTTCGTGATATGGCACCGAAAAACCCATGAGTGAAGTTACACAAAGCAGCTGAAATCGTGAGTCTTTAACTAAGAGGAGACGCCTCCATTTGAAGACTGTTGGGCAAGAGCACGCTTATTATTAAATTGTTAGGTAGTTTTTGTGGTGATTTGCAGCCACAGGGAGACGTTTATGTCCAAGAAAAACGAAAGCAAAGTTTAAAACTATTTCGCAAATGGGAAATAACTCATCGAGATGACAAACATAATTTTGCTTCGAATTCGTGAATTTTCGCAATTATTAATATTCTGAAAATCGTAAAGGATATGAGGTGGGTTAAGAAAATGTTGTCTTCTTTAAATTGAGAACAAAAAATCCATTTTCGACGAGGTCTGTGTATTTTTTTGTGTAGAAAAGCGTATTACGTATTCATGAATGAGCTTCAAGAAATGAGCTACAAGCGCAAAATATGCGTAAATGAAAAACTAAATATTTAGGGCATATTTTTCGAGCACTTTGGGATATATTTATATTTCAGAATTTTTTGCCAATTTTTAGACAAAATTTTCAAAAGTTTAATTTTTCCGCCCTCCGCTCTTACAAACTTTCGACATTTTTTCGGTCATCTACGAAAACTACCCAAGGAGATTTTATTGTAGATTTTGAGCTCCAAAAGTTATTTTCGGCTTCATTTCTTCTAAAATTCGTACCATTTTTGTTCAATCGCACTAAACACAAATAAAATCGTTAGAATGAAAACCGCGCGGGTGGGCGGGGCTAGACTGATTTTGTTAAATGACATATCCTCTAATAAGAAAACAGAGGGTGGATGAGTGCGTCTAGAAGTTGCTGAGATAAAACTGAACAATATTAAGAGTAGTCACTGGAATTAAGAGGGGGTGGGTGGGTGGGGCTATTGCTTTCTTATAGAGGACTGTAGGAAAAAGTTAAATTTAAACTAATTATGCGAATTTTCAAGATAAAAAAAAGAAAATGAATTTCAAAGCGAATATTTTTAAAATCTTGCTCTGGAAGCATAAATACGCTGTATTTTTCGAATTAACACTTTGAGATCTACATCCCTGAATTTTTTGCTAATTTTTAGACAAAATTTTCAAAAGCCCAAATTTCGTCTTTTTTTCGGCCATCTTTGAACATTACCCAAGCAGATTTTATTATAGATTTTGACAACTAACAGTTATTTTCGGCTTTATTTCTTCCAAAATTTGTACCATTTTTCCAAAATCGCCCATTTGAATTATGACAATGTTTACCATTTTTTAAAAAATGAACTTCAAAGCGAACATTTATAAAATCTTGCTCTGGATACATAAATACGCTATATGTTTCGAATTAGCAGTTCAAATCTATCTATACCCCAGAATTTTTTGCAAATTTTTGGACAGTTTTCAAAATCTCAATTTTTCCACACTCTCTTGTTGTAAAATTTCGACTTTTTTTGGACCATCTTCGAAAATTACCCAAAGAGATTTTATTGCAAACTTTGACCACCAAAACTTATTCAGTCACGTCTTCATCTTTTTGAAAATTTCTCCCATTTTTCCAAAATCGCCCATCTGCCTTATGCAAATTTTCAAGATTTAATTTTAAATTTAAAAAATATTGAACTGTAAAGCGAATATTTATAAAATCGTGCTCCGGAACCATAAACACGCTATATTTTGCGAATTAGCACGTCGAGATCTATATCTCAGAATTTTTTGCCAATTTTGTGACAAGGAGATTTCATTGTAAATTTCGTCGAAAGTTCCTACCACTTTTCCAGAATCGGCCATTTGAATTATAGCAATTTTTAGGAATTAAAAAAAATTGAATTTCAAAGCGAATATTTATAAAATTTTGCTCCAGGGCTATAAAAAAGCTATATTTTTCGAATTAATTAATACTTTGACATCTATATTCCAGAATTTTTGCTAATTTTTGGACAAAGTTTTCAAAAATTCATTTTTTTCACACTCTCATGTTGTAAAATTTCGTTTTTTTGGACCATCTTCGATAATTACCCAAAGAGATTTTATTGCAAACTTTGACCACCAAAACTTATAATTTCACGGCTTCATTTTTTTGAAAATTTCTCCCATTTTTCCAAAATCGCCCATCTGCCAGATTTGCATAAGCAAATTTTCAAGATTTAAAAAAAATTGAACTGTAAAGCGAATATTTATAAAAATTTTTCTCCGGAACCATAAACACGCTATATTTTTCGAATTAGCACGTCGAGATCTATCTCAGAATTTTTTGCTAATTTTTTGACAAGGAGATTTTATTGTAATTTTTTAGCCCCCGAAAGTTATTTTCGATTTCATTTCGTCGAAAGTTCCCACCACTTTTCCAGAATCGGCCATTTGAATTATAGCAATTTTTAGGAATTAAAAAAAAATTGAATTTCAAAGCGAATGTTTATAAAATTTTGCTCCAGGGCCATAAAAAGCTACATTTTTCGAATTAATACTTTGACATCTATATCCCAGAATTTTTGCTAATTTTTGGACAAAGTTTTCAAAAATTAATTTTTTCCACACTCTTGTAAAGTTTCGACTTTTTTTTGACCATCTTCGAAACTTATCCAAGGAGATTTTATTGTACACTTTCCATCAAAAGTTATTCTCGGCTTTATTTTTTAGAAAATTTCTCCGATTTTTCCAAAATCGCCCATTTGAATTATACCAATTTTCAAAATTTAAAAAAAATTGATTTTTAAAGCGAATATTTATAAAATGTTGCTCCAGAACCATAAACCCGTATATTTTTCAAATTAGCACATAGAGATCTATATCCCAAAATTTTTTGCTGATTTTAGTCAAAATTTTCAAAAATTCAGTTTTTCCACACTCCCCCCTTACAAAATTTCGATCCTTTTTTTGACAAGGAGATTTTATTGTAGATTTTAACCCCTGAAACTTATCTTTGATTTAAATGATATGAATTTTGTTAAGTTGGGCTGCAAAAATTGAAAAAATGCAGCCTTTACAATTTATTACTGAAAATGTGCCTAATTAAGAAATTTTTACTTATTTTTTTCAAAAATTTGTAAAAAAATATCACCAATATTTTGCGTTTATCAAGGCTTAGGTCAAAATAGCAATATTAACAAAAACAAATGTAAAAAAAGGGACTTTTTCTAGTGAAAAAATGACCAAAAAACATCATCTAAATTCAAAAAACATTGAGCTTTTTATTCTGAGTTTAGTTACAGTTATACAACAAAACTTTGTAATTCATATAACAATTTGGCCAAAATTTACTTAAATACTGATTTTGATTTTTTAATGGACATGGTAAAATTTACCAACTTTAAAAATGCCAATATTTCTTAAATACTGTGAATCGTTTAAACAAAACGTCTAGAGATATGTTACTTTGGGGTATAGAAAACGGTAAAAACAGCTAGATAATTTCGAAACTTACCTAATATATTTTTTTATTCATTTCGCCATTTAGTGATTATTTTTAATCGCCCATTGAAATTCCGGAATCGCAAATTGAAATATGATCGTTTTTTCAATTTTTTTAAAATACATTTCAAACCGAATATTTCTAAAATCTTACCCCCCTACCATGAAACGCTGTATTTTTGGAATCAGCACATCGAAAACTATACTCCAAAATTTTTTGAGGATTTTTAGACAATTTTTTCAAAACAAAAATTTTTCAATATACTCCCTTTATGAAAATTTCGGAATTCTAAGACCACATTCGAAACTTAATGAAAGACATTTTCTTATATATTTTGACCGTCAGAAGTTACTTTCGGCGTGATTCCTTCGATAATCTTACCATTTTTCCAGAATTGTCCATAAATATAAAAGTTCTCCCCAATTTGATTTGATTTGTTAAATTTTGTATCTCGTTCGCAAAAGAACGCTCTGGAAGGATTTTTAATTTGGTTGAAAAACAGTCAAAAATACACAAATTATGGAATCTTGCAGCAAAACGTTGCAATGACGTCATCAGTTTATAGAAGGGATGAACAGATTCGTTATCTTGATAATCTTAAAAATTTTCAGAACGGTCAGTTTTGTATTTTCTAAGATAAATTGTAGAAATCTAAAATAAACAATAAGGGCGGATTAATAAGACAAAAGTACAAAAAGATGCTACTTTATAGAATTAAAGTGGGATTTATCTAGCAAAATTTGGGGATAACGTCATCAAATTGTTGGTGGGCATGGACAAATTGTGGCCAGTGCTTAATCATCCATACAATAGTTGAAAATTCTACAGCAATCCCCCAGTGGTTTCAGAGACTATGTGTCTAACAAAGCCGTTAAGGGACCAACGACAGACGGACAGACAGACCGAAATGGGTGACCTACATTTTCGTAAATATGACTTAATAAAAATTCATTGTAATTTAGTAAAGTTCACTCTGTTTCGCAATGAATAAATTTCAATATATCAGTAGTCATTAAAACCACGCAAAAATAAAAATCATGAAGTAAGTAAAGCTGACTTTATACTTTTAACGAAGGCTGAAAATCACGTAAAATTATTAAAATACAACTGCACGATTAGTCCGTGTTCGAGAACAACAAATTTACCGACACAGTGACCTACATTTCTTGGTTTGACAACCTCTCATCATCTTGTTTTTTAATCGTCACTATGGCAACTTTCCCCAAATACACAAATACAGATCATTCCCTAAACAACTAAACCACAATACTTAAGTAAATAAAGTAAACCAATTTACTTTAGTACCACAGTCCGCTCGACCCGGCGCATCCACCAAAATCCACTCACCGAGTTCGAGGAGTTATATGTTGTCGTGGTCGTAGAATTGGGTGTGTAGGAGGCCTGCTGTTGCTGCTGCGTCTGTTGCTGTTGCTGCTGCTGGGCGACGGCCGACACCGCCGCCGCCGTCGAGGCTGCAGTCGCTGCCTGTGTGGCGGGATAACGTTGGTAGTATGTGCTTCCAGTTGTTGGATGGCCGTGCTGGTGACCGCCGCCGACGCCGCCCCACTGGCGGTAGGCCCCCGTTGTTTGGTGCTGGGTGGCCATGGGCGCACCGCCGCCACCACCGCCCTTCACGCCGCCGAACGACGCTGTCCTCGACCCGCCGCCGCCTCCGTTACTATTCTGAAACAACGAGGAGACACCCAATTAGTGATTACGCCACCTCATTAACAAAAAAAGCGAAAATCGATGCTAAAACGAATCAACGGTGATTGGGGGCTTTGAGGATTTTTTGTAGGGTTATTGAATCGCACGCGCGTGAGGTCGTTAATTTGAGCTGAAAATTCTGAAAGGTATTTTTTGTTACGGGAATTTTCATTTGGTGGTATTTTTTTTTTGTTTATGGATTGATTAGGCGAGTTCGGTGCTCCGTCGCTTTTTTTAATAAAATGCTTTTTATGATGAAAATGACAAAACGAATTATTGGAATGGAACTACGGCTGAAATAATAATTGGAAACTTTGTCTCTGGCTTATAGTTTCATTGGGTGTAAACAGTAAAATTTTAAAATTATATCTACAACAAAAGTGTAGAAAACAGTCGGGAAAAAAGTGATAAAATATTTCGAGAAGAATCAAGTGGAGAACAAAAGAGGTTTTAGAAAAATTTCGACTTCAGCGCAAGCTTAAAATTGAATTCGACAACACGAATGACATTCAAGACTTTTTAGAACTTTACCATTTTGTCATAAATTTAATATAACATGGACACGTTTTGGTGAGCGAATCACTGATAATCAGAGAGAAACAGAGGAAAGGAAAAAGTGAAAAAAAAATGTATCACAAATATCTAGAAAACAATCACGAATTGAAAGAAAAAGTTCTAGAAGAATTTCAGTGCAAGATTAAAAGTTAAGATCAATTAACAAAAAACCTAGAAAAGCTTTTATTAGAAAGTAAGACAAAAAAAATATAGAAATTCAGGGCACTCTAAATCTATTCGAGAACACGAATGACATTTTTAGAACTCTCCTATTTTGTCATAAATTTAGTACAACATAGACATGTTTTTTGGTGGGTGAATCACTGATAATGAGAGACAGAGTGGAAAGGAAGAAGTGATGAAAATGCATTATAAATATCTGGAGAAAAATCAAGAATTGAAAGAAAAAGTTCTAGAAGAATTTCGATTTCACTACAAGATTAAAATTTGAAATCAATTCAACAAAAAAATTAGAAAATCTTTTATTAGAAAGTAAGATAAAAAAAATACGAAATCAGGGCTATGTATAAAAAAAAAATCATCACAATTGAAACCAGGTGGGTGGGCGGGGTCTATATTTTGTCTTTTTTCTTAATGTAAGTATATAGTATTATTTAAACAATACGATACTAAAAAATGTTTTTAATTTCTTGTAAGGAAATAAAGTGTTTTGCAGTTAAGCTCCGCCCCCTTGGTTGACGGCGAATAAAAAAATCATCACAATGGAGATAGGGCGGGTGGGCGGGCTTACATTTTGCCTTTTTGTATTAATATGTGTAGCTTTTTTTAAGTAAGACAAAAAATAGAAATTCAGGGCATTCAAATCTATTCGAGAACACTAACGACATCCAAGGCTTTTTAGAATTTACCATTTTGTCACAAATTTAGTACAACATATACACGTTGTGGTGGGTGAATCACTGACAATGAGAGACAAACAGTGGAAAGGAAGAAGTGATAAAGATATATTATAAATATCTGGAGAAAAATCAAGAATTTGGACTTCAGGGCAAGATTAAAATTGAACATCAATGCAAAAAGAATCTAGAAAAAGTGAGGCAAAAAATAAGTTTTTCACTTGAAAGTGAAACAAAATTAGAAATTCAAGACATTCAACTGAATTTGATATCACAAATAACAACCAGGGGGTCTTGGAACTTACCATCTTGTCATAAATTTAGTACAATAGTACAATAATATAGATAATTAAACGTGTTTTAATTTTCTAAGAATAAAAAAAATCATCACAATTGAGATGGGGTGGGTGGGCGGGGTTTATATTTTATCTTTTTTCTTACTGTACATAGTACACTTTGAACACAAGAAATAAGTATTTTTCAGTTAAGCTCCGCCACATTGGTTCACGGCGAATACAAAAAATCACCACAATTGAGATAGGGCGGGTGGGTGGGCTTACATTTTGCGTTTTTGTTTTAATATGTGCATCATTTTTTCATAAGATGAAACTTAAAATATGTTTAAAATAGAAAATTTGTATAAAGAAAAATCGATTTTGCAATTAGGTTCCACCCCATAATTGCAAAATCCATATTTCCTTGCAAAAAGGTACCAGTTTAACAATGTTTTAAGTTGTGAAAAAATGGCTATGTACATTAAGAAAAAAAAGGCAAAATATAAGCCCCGCCCACCCACCCTATTTCAATTCTGATGATTTGTTAATTCTACAAAAAAACTAGAAAGTCTTATCAGAAAGTAAGGCAAACAAAATAGGAATTCAGGGCATTCTAAAATATTCGAGAATACGAATGACATCCAAGGCTTTTTAGAATTTACCATTTTGTCATAAATTTAGTACAACATATACACGTTGTGGTGGGTGAATCACTGATAATGAGAGACAAACAGTGGAACGGAAGAAATGATAAAGATATATTATAAATATCTGGAGAAAAATCAAGAATTGAAAGAAGTTTTAGAAGAATTTCGACTTCAGGGCAAGATTTAAATTGAACATCAATTCAAAAAGAATCTAGAAAAAGTGAGTCAAAAATACGTTTTTCACTGGAAAGTGAAACAAAATTAGAAATTCAAGATATTCAACTGAATTTGATAACACAAATGACAACCAAGGGGTCTTAGAACTTAATATCTTGTCATAAATTTAGTACAATAGTACAATAATATAGATAATTAAACGTGTTTTGAGTTTCTAAGAATAAAAAAATCGTCACAATTGAGATGGGGTGGGTGGGCGGGGTATATATTTTGTCTTTTTTCTTACTGTGCATAGTACACTTTGAACAAAAGAAATAAGTATTTTGCAGTTAAGCTCCGCCCCATTGGTTCACGGTGAATACAAAAAATCATCCCAATTGAGATAGGGCGGGTGGGCGGGCTTACATTTTGGGTTTTTGTTTTAATATGTGTATTCATTTTTCATAACATGAAACTTAAAATATGTTTAAAATGGAAAATTTGTATAAGAAAATATCGATTTTGCAATTAGGCTCCACCCCATAATTGCAAAATCCATATTTGCTTGCAAAAATGTACCAGTTTAACAATGTTTTAAGTTGTGAAAAAATGGCGATGTACATTAAGAAAAAAAGCCAAAATATAAGCCCCGCCCACCCACCCTGTCTTAATTCTGATGATTTTTTTATGCATCGTAACCCGGGGGGTGGAGCTTCATTGCCAAATCCTTATTTTTCTACGAGAAATAACCATGTGAAATAAGTAATCGGGTTATGCAACAGCAATATGCTGTCAACCAGAAAAATATCTCCCCTACTTCAGGGGATTTTCCCTCAAGTTGGCAGCACTGCAAACTACTGCAATTTGATTGGTTGAAAATCCAACGTTAATAGCAATGTAACGACGAAAGTTGGTCATCTCGAACGTCACCCCAACGACGTGCCAACTTTCAACGGCAACGTCAACGGATGGTATAAACGACGCATACCTACGTATTTATCTTACAACGACAACATCAAAGGAGAACAGCAACGTCAGTGGCAAGTTCTTAAATTGACCTTTAAGGTAATCAGAAACATGATAAATTGTTGGTCACAGTTTTAATAATAAATATATGACTCCAAATCTACCACTTCCCGACGACTTGCATAAAATCGAATTCGTAGTTATAAGTTAGAAAAATGAACCCAGAACGCAGACATTGGTGCTTTTTTAACGATATTTCTTTGACATTTTTTTTGGTTAATTCTACAAAAAAAACTAGAAAGTCTTTTATTAGAAAGTAAGGCAAACAAAATAGGAATTCAGGGCATTCTAAAATATTCGAGAATACGAATGACATCCAAGGCTTTTTAAAACTTTACCATTTTGTCACAAATTTATCACTGAAAATGAGAGGCAAACAATGGAAAGGAAGAAGTGATAAAGATGTATTATAAATATCTAGAGAAAAATCAAGAATAGAAAGAAGTTTCAGAAGATTTTCGGACAATACCTAAAACCGGTTTTTAATCCCTTCATGTCGTTTGGAAAGTGTTCAGACACTTTTAAATGGTGTAGGTAGTTTAGTGTTTGTAAAGTAGAGACCGCAAATAGTGAACTTTTCGTTTCCATAAGTGGTTTGGTGGAAGTCCTCAATAAACCGCTCAGGAGGGGGCTTCCATAAAACTTTTGGCGGTTAGCAACAGAAAGTCCATGTTCACTATTTGCGGCACTCTACTTTACCTTGTGCATAATATAACATTTCCAGAAACAAGAAAAAAAAAAGAAGTTTTAAAAGGACTTGGACTCCCGTGCGTGTAATGACAGTTTAACGATAGGTAATTAGGGGTATTATGAATGAATAATACCCAAAGTCATTTCTAACCCCTTCATTTTCTTTGAAATTTGTTGCTCTATTCAAAATTTCCGAAAATTTAGATAAGCAGCTTAGGACCTCTTCCAACTATCGTTTCGCAGGAATGTTTAGAAATCCTCCCAGCCCTTGTTAAACCCATACGTAAAATTTCCAACCAATTTGTTAGGACTTTTACGCCCCCACTAATTTACCTCTCCAACATTAACATTAATGCCAAAAAATCACCCGCGTCAAGAATTTCTTCGCAGCCATCCTGCGGCTCGTCGACAGTGATTCATGTTGCACGTGCACTTCGACGTTATTAATCAAAATGCACGTAACTCCACGAGTCGATAACGCTGCAAATATTTCATTCTCCGAATGAACGTCAATAGGGTCAAGAAGGTGTATCACGGAAAAGTCGGGCGGGGCGCTTTCCCGTATTATATTTATCCCACGATAAAGTGAAACTCGCTATTTTTAGACAAGAAAACCATAATTTGTTTACGTTCAGAAACATATTTTCGTGGACCTAGACAAAGGCCTCTGCGTCGTTCGCAGGGAACAAAGAAATGGTGACTGAGTCGATGAAGCAATAGTCGTGCTCCAGGTGCACTTGCAGCCTTCTAGGGATAAAAAAATTCGATTG